GACGCTCCTGTGCCAGGAAAGCTATGTTTGCAGTGGGACAGATGAAGCAATCTTTGAGTGTGACGAGTGCAGGAGCCTACAGTGCCAGCGTTGTGAAGAAGAGCTGCATCAGCCAGAAAGGTTACGGAACCATGAACGGACCCGTATAAGACCTGGCCATGTCCCATACTGTGACTCCTGCAAAGGTGCCAATGGGAACATAATGCATGCCAGTATGACAGGCTCAAGGCAGATAGCAGCAGTGAGGTGCCAGGTGTGCAAAATCAACCTCTGCGTGGAGTGTCAGAAGAGAACACATGCTGGGGGGAACAAAAGGAAGCACCCTGTCACTGCGTACCATGCTGGCAAAGCCCAAGAGCAGGAAGAGGAGGAGGGGATGGATGAGGAGACCAAGAGAAGGAAGATGACAGAGAAAGTTGTGAGTTTCCTCTTGGTGGATGAAACCGAAGAGATTCAGGTAAGCACTGTGGTGATTTGTTTGAGCAGGCAAGGTCCTTCAGTTTCTATCCTAGTCTAACAGGCTTCTGTGATACATGGTTGATACTGAAGTGTAACCTGGCAACAATGGTAACAAAACATTGGTTGTTTAAGCGCCACTGAGCCTCTTGGGCTAAAAAGACACAGTGCCTTGGAGTGGCCTTGCTCAGAAGTTCCTCAAAAGGTCAAGTTCATTAAAGCCTTATGTGTGGCAAGAGCCTCCTCTAAGAGGCTTGGTAAGCAAAGCTGGTGAAAGAATTGACTCTGTACCGAGACACACACACACTACTAAGATAAGAGCTGTTTGTGCAGGATGCTGATCATTCTTGAACAAAACTGAATGGACAGTATTGCAATAGGTATCCTGCAAATGGGAGTGCTGGCAGCCAATCTCCTACCACGTGACTAGGAGAGGGCACTGTACCAAGCAGTGCTAATGCAAGACTACGACCCCCTGCTACCCTCCTTCAGCACTAGTGAATCCATCTGATTTTTAACAAGACAAAGTAGATATGAGTGTCCAAAGTGTGCCATCCATGTCCTACAGACACCATGGTTAAGCTATACTGCTTATCACAAATACTATTGCACGTTAGCCTTTTGGTAAAGGAGGGAGAACTTGCCATCAATTTGGGGTAGGCCTGCTGATAATAATGATAGAAATACTAGTTGACCAGGAACAGCTTCTCAGGAGGAACTATTTTAGAGAGTCCAGCATTCAATATATGCAGTTAAAGAACTCTTCTGTTGGCCCTTACGTTTGGTGAGCATAAGCACTTTACAAGATAAAAATATTTATAAACGTAACAACAGCAACGTGTGAACATGACAGAGCAGGTTAATTACACAACTGAAAATTCAACTTTATCTTCTGGCTTTCAATTTGCATTCTTTGTGTTAAACCTTGTTTAGGAGACACTGGAAGAAAATGTGTAGTCGCTGCAAGACACAATATGTGATTGCTCTAATTTAACATATTCATGCTGCCATCAGTAAAAAGAATTGTGATGATGTTCGGATTGTGGATAGTTTAGTTCTTTTTATACTTTATATATATATATATATATATATAGTTTCAGTCAATGTGACTTAAGTATCTTGTATCTATTCTGTACTGTAGAACAGTGTATGTGTGCTTGTGTGTACATATATGTGTGTGTGTGTACCAGTAATTGTACTGTAGTATAGAATAGTTGCAAGATATTTGGGTCACATTTTGGAAAATTCAGGTGTACTGATTGACAAACTCTCCTAGCTTTTGAAGGGGAAGGGGAGGGAAGGTTGACAGTCCTTATGGTGCACTGTCACAGGAAACATACTGTGCAAGACACCAGTGACTGTAAAACGAGTGCTTGAGTTTCAGGTGTAGTATCAGTCCTAAGTTTGTATGTCTCAAAGCCCTAAGCACACACACATTTCCTTGTAATGCATGACAGATGCAATATTACTTGAAGAAGCAGACTTTTCAATAATCCTCATCCAGCCACTACAGCAAGCTCTGAAATGCCTTGGAACAGAGCTGTCCTGCAAAGCTGCTCACAGACTGTGTCTGTGTATGGTTGTACCAGTTTAAGTTATATTTATACTCGTGAATCTGTAAGCCTTATTGAGGGAGACCTTTGGCTGCCTCTTATAAGCAAGTGCCTTGCTATTTAAATGTCATGGGCAATAAGGATATTATTGGGATATCCTTATTGGGACAGAAATGATCCTTTATCAGAGCAGAGCAACTTGGTCAGAACAAGGTTGGGTTGAGAAAGCTTTCAAAAAATGATCTTGTTTCATTATCAAGACATTGAATCAGAGCTCTTCCATGTGGAGTGATCTCTTCCTCACAGCTGAATACTTCTGTGACATCTCACAGCCAGTGTCAAAGTAGTTTGAGAGTTTTCAATTAAAATATTTTCTGGCAGCTGGAATTTAAAGAGTGCTTGCTATTATAATGATGTTTCTGCTAGTGAGCATGAGAACATTTATTTAGAGAGGCCTGTCAGATGACTAGCTAGCTTTGAAGACATCTTCTGTGGCATCTTTTGCTCTTGATAATACTGAGCTGCCAATTTAGGTAGAGGAAAGTGATCCTTAGTCTTTTATTTTGTGCTTGTCATTAGTTGGGGAGAAATAATTAGAATGTACTTTATTTAAACCACCTTGTGTCCAAAAATGCCAAAATATTAATAACTTGAAATGTGTAGGTTCAGAGTTTGAGGGTGTGTGGTTTTTGAGCAGACAAGATAGGGATTTATCAGAATTATGGAGTCCAGCTGTCTTTAACTGTGTGCTTCATGACCTTTGAAACTTGAAAATTGTTGCATTAGTTAAGAAATAAGAGATCAAACTGCTGATTTGCTATTGGTGGTAGATTCTGCCATAGCAATGTTAAAAGCTACATCCTCCCCTCCCCCAAAATGTTTTAAAAATTGAAATCATCTGCAGTTTAGACCTCATTCTAGGCCCTTTTTCTCAAGCTGTATTACACAGTTTTTCTTTACACAGTATTAAACTTTTGGACTTATCTATTGCATATCTGAAGCTGAGACTTCAATCAAATTTTTCTTGGTAACTGAGGCATCAGTTTGTTAGTTGTCTCTGACATAGTCTGTCTTCCTTGCTCTTGTCTACTGAGAGTGATACTGTGGGGATTACTTCCTCAGTCAATTGCTTTGGTCTTGTCACTGCTCTCATGGCATCTTCCACATCTCCTCTTTGCCTTGGCAGACTCAAACTGCGTGCCTTCTTTTTAATGTGTGTAAATCCCCCAACTGAATCTCCTGATCTGCTCTGTCAAGATGTCAGCTTTCTTATCTCTAACTTGCTGGATTCTCAAACAAGCATCATTGTGCTGTCACTGGTGCTGCCTCTTGCACATAGGAAGCGCTTACCCTACAAACTTAGAGAAGCAATGAATTGATATTTTTATAAAACTCCCCTATAATTTTGGATCTATTAAGAAAACCACAGTGAAATACAACAATAAAAACATGACTCAGGGTAGGATACTTGTTTCAAGCCTCGATACTCTGACTGTCCCATGAATTTTTCCACTCACCTGTATGTGTCTTTGTCTTGTGTACTTTATGTTTATGTAGTTTCTGAAACAGTATCTATTTTTGCTTGGTCTTCATACAACACACTTGCAGTAGAGCTCTTTAGCATAAGGCAGAGAGTTATGCATCCATTGTACAATGAGCTTTATTTACTACTACTTCTGAGGCAGGGGAAAAGAAATGCTTAACATTGCATAACAACAATTTGATACTTTTATCATAGGGAACAGATGTTGGGAGCACTTGCCACAGGATCAGAACTTGGTTGTAGTGTCACCAGTGGCTTTTATGATAAGACTTTGTCCAAAGCCCTAATTAAGGACTCAGCACATATACTGAATGTACAGTAGAGAAAGTCTTTCACTGACCCCAGAAGATAGGGGACATGCTTGGTTATTAGTAATCTGCCTTTGGGTTCACTGATCTTTGATCAGAAACCAGCTCTGTCACGAGAAATTACCCAATCTGTGGGTTGCAAAGAAAAGTAAAGGTACTGACTTTGTTGTTTGACTTAGTAAGGAGATGAGAAGAAAAGAAAGTTCTTCCTCCAGCTAGTCACAAAAATAATATATCCAGCATGTGGGAGAAAGGAGTGTACATTTATTACTGTGTCTCCCTGGAGGTACCCTTATAAGCTCCCTGTCTTCAGTTTGCAGGGTCTTTTTGTTTTGCCACTAGATATCTCAATTTCTTAAATCTAACCCCATCCTTGAGTTCATTTTATTCCTGCTAGCAGGGCTGGACAAAGATTAAGC